AGACATTCAGATGTGTAATCAGAGAAATAAAAGTAAAGATAAAATAATTTTTATTTTTATTCTTAATTGATCTAACAGATAACAGTTTAATTAAAATAGTAATGCATTAGGGGCTGGGGATTTAGCTCAGGGGTTTTGCCATCTGCTGCATAAGCACAAGGACCTGAGTTCAATCCCTGGTACAAAAAAAAACATAGTAATACATTTGATGTTTGCATATGTATAAATGAAATGAACAAAAGCAATGTTATAAGGAATGTGGTGGAGGAATATTTTATTATTATAAAATACTTAGTTGGGCTGGGGATTTAGCTCAGTGGTTCCACCTCCTGCCTCGCAAGCTCAAGGACCCGAGTTTGATCCCTGGTAACAAAAATTAATAATAATAATAATAATAATATTATAATAAAATAGTTGCAGTACCCATGAAGCAGTATAGCAGATATGAATTTGGATTATTTGTAAATGTGTATTGCAAATTCTAAAGCAATCACTAAAGGAGGAGGAAGAGATGAGAAAGGACAAAGAAAGGAGGAGGGGAAGGAGAAGAATTGACACACAGTAAGGAAAAAATGGGATCATAAATGCTTAAACCAAAATGGCAGAAAAAGAATGCACAAAAAATGGAAGAAAGACCAAGAAACTCATGTAAGTATGAAGATGTATTGCACTTGACCTTAGCCAAAAGGCTGAGAAGTGATGAAGATATACTGTGTAGATTAAAAGGTTAAAGGGATGCCGGGGATTTAGCTCAGTGGTTTCACCGCCTGCTGCGCAAGCGCAAGGACCCGAGTTCAATCTCTGGTACCAAAAAAAAAGGTAAAGGGATGAAGAAAGATATTATGCTAACACTAACAAAAGAAAGCAAGAATAGCCATATTAATTTCCAACAGACCAGACTCAGCAAGCAAATTTATCAAGGATAAAGTAAAGCATTATCATAATAAGAAGGCCTATTGTCCAAGAAGACTGTTTTACTTTTTCAGTGCTGAGATAAAATACCTGACACCAAAGTTAAAGGAGAAAAGGCTTATGTCAGATCACTGTTTGTAGAGGTTTCAGTCCATAAACTGTCTGTCTCCAAGGTAGGGCGGCATGGCAGAGGGGCACTTTGAGGGAGAAGCAGCCCAGAGTACAGCAGACAGAAGGCAGCGGCAGCAGAAGCTGCAGCCACAAGCCTGCCTTTCTTTTTTTTTTTGGTACCAGGGATCAAACTCAGGACCTTGAGCTTGTAAGGCTGGCAGCAGCACCACTGAGCTACATCCCCAGCCCTCTGCCTTTCCCTTTTATCCCAACAGGCTACAAACCTTTTGGGTGGTGCCATCCACACCCAGGGTGGGGCTTCTGTCTTCAGTAAATCCAGCCAGCCACACCCAGAACTGTGCTAATTCCAATCAGTGGACTAATTTAGTACCATGCACCCTGAACTCCAGTATCACACCCTTAATCCACATTCACACACCCTAGATCCAGCCAGCTCCAAAAAGCCCCACCTGTGAGCTTTCAGGAGACATCTAGACACAAACCACAACAGAGAAATAACAACACTTAGTGTGTTGGCACCCAATAACTGATCATCAAAATACTGAGGAATAAAAGTGCAAGGAGAAATGGAAGAATTCACTGTTATAGTTGAAGACTTCAATGCCGCTCTATCAGAAAGAGGCAGATCCAGCAGGTAGAAAATAAGAACACTGTTCATGCACTTACACCATCAATCAACTGGCTGTTTGGGCGTGTACGCACCATTTCATCCAACAACAGCTGCTGCAGTTTGGGTCTAAAATGTCCCCCAAAGACCCACAGGCGAAAGGCTCAGTCCTAGCTTGGCACCACTGGGAGGAGGTGGAACCCTGAAGCGAGGGCCTAGTGGGAAGTCTGCTGGTCACTGGGGCGTGGCCTTACCAGGACCGCGGGATCCTACCCCCTTATCCTTTACTTCCTAGCCAGGACAAGAGCAGTTTGTTCAGCCATGTGCTCCCCCCACCATCATCACCTGGTACCTCCCTAAAACACACTATCTTAACAAAAGAATAAAAATTAGGCTATTAGAATAAAAAATGGTGGCACATGCCTGTAATCCCAGCACTCCAGGAGCCCAGGCAGGAGGATCACAAGTTCTAGCCCAGCCTGAGCAATTTAGAAATGTAGGGAGTTCCTGCCTCAACACAGAAAGATAAAGGGCTGGGGAGGTAGTTCAGTGTAAAGGCCCTGAGTACAATTATTTGTACCAGCTCAAAAAAATAAAAAGAAAAATCATGTTTGCTCTCAGATCACAAGGGATTAAATCAATAAGAAAAACATAGCTAGAAAATCCAAAAATACTTGAGAATTAAAGAGCACATTTCTAAGTAATACATAAGCCAAAGAAGAAATTTCAGGAAAAAATAAAACATTTTAACTGAACGAAAAAGAAAAATACAACTTATCAAAATGTGTGGCATACAGTAAAAGTAGTGCCTAAAGGGCAATTTCTAGCATTAAATGAATATAAGAGAAAGAATAAAGATCAGATAGCAATAATCTAAGCTTCTGCAAAGAAGAGTAAATTAATCTGAAAAAGCAGACTAAAACAACAAAAGTTAGACCAAAACACAATAAAATCAAAAACACCAAATCAACAAAAGCAAAAGCTAGTTCTATGAAAAGATCAATAAAATCCATAAGCCTTGGCCAGCCTAAATAGAGATTAACTCTGGGGTGAGGCCCAAACGTTTGTCTTACATTGGAATCAATGAGCAATTACTTAAACTAGACAGGCAGACAAAAAAATTAATATCATTTCCCTCCTTTCAATCAAGTAAAAAATAAACACTGCTGAGTACTATTTGCCAGACATTGTTCTGAGTGTTTGGGATTTTATCAGTGAACAACAAGTAGAAGTAATCTGTATAGCACATTAGATGACATTAAGTGGAAAAAACAGAACAGAGTGGAGAGAGGAGAGGGAGCTGTATTTTTCCCTTGATTTGCTATAACATTGCTTTCTTCCCTTTTTGATCCCCTTGTCATATGACATAAGATGCATGCATAATAGTTCGTCTGCACCACAGTGCTGAAGTTACAGGGTCTGGAGGAGAAGGCTGATCACGGAGGACTGGGCATCCTCTTTAGGGAAAGGCTCACCACATTCTCTGTCGTATGTAAGATACCCGTAGCAAGGCACAAGTATTACTTTGTTGTTCTTAACTGGAGATCACAGCTTTAAGAAATGCGTACGGGTACCAAGTTGGTATGGAGTGAACTGTAGTAGTTATATGTTTAACTTGGCAAGGCCATGGTACCGAGTTAGCAAACAAGCACTAATCTAAGTGTTCACACTGAGATATTTTTTAGAAGTGATGAACATCTAAAATCGGTTGACTTTCAGGGAAACAAAAATATCCTCTATAATCTGAGTGGACCTCATCCAATCAGCTGAATGGCTATAAAAGCAGAACTGAGGTTTTGCTGAGGAAAAAGGAATTCACCTATGGATTTCAGCATCAGAATCTCCCAACAGTTTCCAGTCTGCCGACCTGCTCTATAAATTTTAGACTTAGGTAGCCAACCCCAGTCACATAAGCCTTGCAGTAAATCTCTTCCTATACAAATCTCCCTCTCTATTCCTCTCTCGTAGAATCCTGACTACCACAGGTAGCTACATACACAGAGAAAATGATACCTAGGCAAAGACTTGCAATGAAGGAGTTGTCACATGGGTGTGCTGTGGGAAGAACAAGCTTACTACAGACACACAAGGGACAGCAAGGAGCCCAATGCAGCTGGATGAGAGAGAGCAAAGAGAAGCAGGAAAGAAGGTTACTTGTTAGCCACCGACAAAAGCAGGGAATGCACAGGCTTGCACTTGAAAGGTTCCTTCTTGCATTCCATCTGAAGCCAAGCCCACATCATGACAAAAATGATGATGATGTCGCCGTCACCCAAATGTCTCCCCTCCTGTAACTCAGTGTAAATGAACCCCCGCCCCCATCCCCACTGCAGGTGAAGCTCACGGCGGCGGCTGCTGCTCGAATAGACTCTGTAACTCACTTAACATTCACTGCACATGTGCGAAGCACCCACTGTTGCTGCTTCATGCCAGCGATTTGGGAGCTCAGCAAAATGGGAGCCAGAAGTCATGTCGGAAAGGGTCCCACCACCCACCCATGGACTGAGGACAGAGACAGCTCCTGTTGTCATAGTCAGAGAAGATAGCAGTCTGCTGTGTGGAGGGTTTAATGCCCCCAACTGATCCCACCCAGGTATCACTGTAAAAAATGCAGACCAGGCACCTCCAGTGCCAGTGCATAGTGATCCAGGTGTCCTAAGCTTGGTAAGACCCTCCTCGTTAGCCCCAGAAAGAGGGATGGCACCACCACCCCATGAATTTTCCTAACTGCAAAGGTTATAAAAATATCAATAATTTTACGCATATTTATTAACCTGGGAAGAGGTTCATAATTATATAAAATGAACAATCTCAATCTCATGCATTATGCACGTTCATTCCTTAGAGGCATCTCAACAACCAACATTAACATGTGAAAAACAGTATTTGGGAAAAAGAACAAATGCAGCAAAAAGTTAAACGCACATAAGAAATGTAACAAGGCTGTGTGATCAGTGAGATTACAGGTAACTTTTATTTTCTTCAACTCCCGTGTCTTATTTTCCTGTGATAGTATGTAGCGCTCAAATAACAAAAATGTGTACAGTTTATAAGTAAAAACTCCTTCGTGTACAGTACAGGAAGAACTTCTAGCGCCCTTATTCCCTTAAAAAGTGAACTGACCCCTGTAATCTAGTGCGAGTTGGAACAGAGCTTTCTCTATTACATACACATGTGAAAGTACAAGCTCAAAAAGTCACTTACCCGAAGTTACACATCATGCAGCCCAACCAAGGTAGACTCCAGGGGTCCTGCCGGCCCCTTCCGAGCCAGCACTCTGTCTCTGCGCCATCTGCTTCCCCGTACCCCCAAGGAGTGCCACTGGAGGTGAGAGGCACTGCCGCCTTACCTCTGCCAGGCGGGAGTGCTTGTGGACGTTCTCACCCTTCTGTACACTGGGAGCCAACTGCTGCAAGACGCCCCTGCTGCTCGTCAGTGCTCTGGTCAGCCGAGCGAACTTTCCCCAGCCTGAGGCATGTGAGAGAGCAAAAGACAGGGTCAGCCACATCCCAAAGCAGCAGCGACAGTCACTTCAACAGTCCTGCGGTTGCAAACAGGAACCCTGCTTCCGCATGAGGTCTCCTAAGCCACTCACAAACACTGCCAGCAGGGCTCGCTGCCTGGGAGAGCGCCTTCAGTCACCCCATTCGTGTAGTAACTGACTTTTCCCATCCACTTGCACCTCCTCCTCCTCACAGCTCTGAGAAGGACATAAGGCGAGTTTCAGTACCTTTCTACAAACAGGGAAACTGAAGCAATGAAGCACAGAGCACCTAGACAAGAAGAAGAGTCCACAGTCCCCATCCATCTCTCCACTCTGGGCCAAGGCCTTTCTAGCCACCTGCACCAGGTAACTGAGATGTTTCTCTGACGTGATGACTTGCCTCAGGCTGTTTCCAGTGCTCACGGGGTTTGATCCTTCAGAAAGAGCTAGTTTGGGTTTAAATAGACCAAAAAAATGAATTCAGATCCTGGGCAGATGAGGGAAAAGCACTGGCTGGTTATAGTCTGCTTGGAGAAGGGGAAGGATGGTTGGTAAAGAGCTTTTTAAAAATCCAAGAAGTCTGAGCTGACTGTAGTGCTCTTGACAGCCCCCAAAGACAACCGTCCAGGCCAACAGCCAACCCCTATCTTCGAGAAAGGTAGGACCATGGTCGCTGCCCCACGGGACCCAGAAAGGCTGTCAGGCTTCTCACGGCCAGGCTGGGTTTCAGGAGCTCCCAACACCTGGATGTGAGGTGGACAGCAAATAAACAAAGCATGCGACTACTTCTCCATGACAGCAGTTTTATTTTTTATCCTTTGGAGTTTCCAATATTCAGTGCCTTCCAGCAGAATTCCCATCTTCTAAATTTTAGCCTTAGAATTCAAAGGACAATGGATTGAAGAAGAATGGCCTCTTTTGTACACCCTTCAAGAATCATCTCATTCCAGAAGTGCTGCCCTTGTCTAAAAGCTAGTGGCACTGGCATCATGCCATGCAGCAGAGACAGAGGACCGACGGGCACCTTGGAAGGGGTATGCAGCACTTGGGCCATGGGAGCTCTGCTAATGTGAACAGGAGGGATGGAGTGGCCCAGACTCCACAGGGGTCTTTGACATCTCTCCCAATGCACCACTTATGAGCACTCTGAGTTGTGTTTGTAAGAACCACGGACTAGATTTTTTTTTTTTAATTTTTTCAGAGTCAGGCTCTCCTTCAGCTCAAATCAAAGCTGGAACTGAATTCAGCAAAGGTTGTCAAGAGGAACAAAAAGTGTATTTCTAATCTAGTAGAAAACAGTTGTGCCTGCACACATTGGCAACCCCCAGCCCAGCACCACCATCGCTACCACTGCAGCCTCCACTGTGGGGCCAGTGATGAGAGGGGAAGGCAGGGCGAATATCCAGGCATCAAGCGTGGGGGACTTCTGGACCACTGAGCATTTCTCTGGGCTGAGCCCAGCCCCCTTGCTCTCTGGCTTTCCCCTGGTTTTCTAAGAGTGCAGCTCTTGAAGGAGCTGGCTCTCAGCTGAGCAGAGACCATGATAACATACGTGCATGGTGGATGGGAAAAGGGTAGGCAGTGTGAAATTTCCCCATCACGCTCTACTCCAGATGGGCAGGAAGAAAATTCTCTCCCCAGTTCCCAAGCCATCTCGTTCTTGCTGGACTATGGACACAGGCTGAGCCACATGAAAGAACAGATTTCTTCACTCATGAGTTGATTCCAAAAATATAACTTCTATGTACCAGGCACAACACTAGCCAACTGGAGATACGAAAACGAAGACGACACAGGTCTGGCCTCAGAGAGCATGTACTCTAGTAGGGAAGACTAAAAAATAATTAAAGTTCAGTGGCAGAGACAAGGGCAGAACACTATGGCCAAGAGTGTTGAGGGAAGGCGTGTCTAATCCAGGCTGAGCAGCCAAGCAAGGATTTGGGGGAGAGGAGACCTGAGGGCAAAACTTTGAAAGATGAGTTGGAGCTGGGTGGATTGCAGAAAGAAAGGTTCTACACAGATGGACAGCACCTATGAAGGCAAAATAATAACAACAGGGTAACATGCCAGTGAAGAGCAAGACATTCCAAGCAGATGGATGGGAAGTCATGGCTTATAGGAGATAGGAGGTTGCAGGGTGGCCTGAAGTGATACTGAAGAGGACATCGGGGGCTGAGACAGGAAGAACACAGGCAGTAAGAACCCAGAAGGCAAGTTTAAAATTTTGAACTTCATCCCAAAGCCCATGGGGAACCACTGAAGGAGTTTAAATATGTGGAAGAGAGGATTACATTCACTGATACGCATTTCAGCAGGACAGAGCAAAATAGGGATGATGGATGAAAAAAAAAAAAAAAGAGCTGACAGATAGAAGGAAGTCAGGACTCCAAACAAGAGACCATGCAGGCCTGGGTCAGGGAATGAGGGAACAAGGGCACACAAGGGCAGCAACAGAGGCAGAATCAGCAGAACTCACTAAACACTAGTTGTCAAAGAGAAAAGGCAATCCTGAATTTCTGATTTAGGTGACTGGGGTGACAGTCACTCAGTGACACTAAAAACACAAGAGGAGGAAATATGTACAAGTTGGACCAAGATGTCCCTCATAGCAGAGCCACAGGGAAACCACTGCTACAAAAAACGAGTCTCCTACTGTCCCGCCGGGAGGTGACAACCCAGTGCAAACCTTGACCAGGTGATCTCACTGAAAGGCAGCAGATGGTCCTGTTCCACACGAAGAATAAGGCAGCTAATGTGTCCCCCTCCTCCATGAAAGCCGTTCCCAGATACTGCTCTGCCCACAGCAGAGCTGCCCCAGACAGACTTCTCCATCACCCGTTATCTTTATTTACTTGTCTGCATGGCTGCCCATTCCCAGGCAGCCTCTAATGGGCAGGGCTCCCTCTCAGCATTTCCCTAGGACCACTGCCTAGCATAAGGCCAGACACCCAGAAGATACTCAAAAGCATGTATTAAATAAATGTAGAACAGTATTTCCCCCCTCATTGCCCTGGTTTTGTGTGGGCCTCCAAAACATATAAATCCAGAGGACAGGCAGCCCATGTCACACTATGAAGTGGGGGGGGGGGGGGTATCAGGGATCAAACTCAGGGCCTTGCGCTTTCGAGGCAGGCGGCAGCACCACGGAGCTAAATCCCCAGCCCAAACTCTATTAAGTTTTAAGAGGTATTCCTGTGCCTCCCTTTTTTCTAGGCATTGCTGAGCCCGCTCCTCCAATTATATCCCATCTGTAAATGCGACACTGAACTGAGCTCAGGCAAAGAAAGTCCTGGCCCAGGGCTCTTCCAGGCACCAAGTGTTACCCAGCAAGTTGTTCACAGGGAAGACTGTGGGTGTCACAGGGAGACGGAAAGCATCACACAACTGGGAAAATGAGAGGGTGAGCAGGGATGGACAGGAAGAGTTAAAGGAAAAGAAGACAGAAGGAGCAGAGTGCAACCGGGCGACCAGCTGGAGTCCTCTCTCCCGTCCTCAGGAGGCACACTGCTCCCCTTTACTGCCACTCCTCAGCGGCTGCTGGGTTTCAACCTAGATGAGCAGACCCACTAGGCCTCTTTTCCCACAAGCCCTGTATCCTCTCTGGGACAGAAGAGATTCTCCTGGGATGAGAAAGAATTCCAGCTCCTCTGAGGATACCAGGAAAGACGAAGGCCAGACTGGTCCTCAGACACTACGTAGACTACACACTGTGGAACTGACGTCCTAACCAACATCCAGCAAAGAGCAGTGGATATACGGGAGCAGAGGGCCCTCCACCACCTCGGCCCTACCAACTTGCAGAAACAGGATGATTTTTTCCAAGAAGCAGAGACTAACTCACTGCCTTTCCATCACCCTAAAGGAGAGAGATAAAATGTTAGCACTGGAGGGGAGAGGCAGCAACTTGTGTCTATTGTTCTGTGTCTTTCCCAAGACTGCCTCATAGATACACCACAGCGAGACACGGAGAAGGGCTGGTAACCACAAATGCTTCCCGGGGCCCTCATCACAAAAACAAAAAAACTCAAAACAAAATCTCCTGTGGAGTTCTTCTCCATGTCTTTTGTTATCTTCATTTCGCTCAAGTTCAAGTTCCAAATGTAGAAGTAAACACACGGATCTTTGAAAATGAATTTGTTCCTTTAATATGAGCTTATTTAGTGATGTGAGAGAGACAAGAGGGGCGACTTGCCCTTTGGTGAGCAGTGCAGAGGGAAACCTCAGAGCCTCCCACTCCAATTCCCCTCTACCCAACTGCCCAAGCCTCTCAGCTCAGAAGAGAATGGAAGAGAAAACTTCCCTGCAGCCACTCCCAGGAATCCATACTGGAAAAGCAGCAGGACATGAACAATGAATGAAACTCCCAGAGCACGACGATCTCATTTCAGCCATGAAGTCCCGCCCATTACCACGCAGCCAGCCTAGCTTGACTTCCGCGTTCCATGCCATCTGTTACACCGCGCGAGTAAGGGAAGGAGTCTACACACGTTATATTAGGGAAAAGCAGCAAAGTGAAGACGAGGGAGTCGGCCTGAGGAGCTCTCGGAAGACTGAACTGACAGACCCTGGATGGGCGGGGGCTCCAGGCACATTCCCAGCCCCAAGGCCCTGTGTGCAAGGGTCTGACTTCCTGTCCATGCGAATAGTCTACTCTCCACTGTCCCAGAAGATTACCCCTTCATGGGTGATTTGGGGGAAATGTTTGTCTCAAACTGGCATCTTACGTAAGTATCAAGATGCACCCACCCCGCCAACTGAGGTACTAGGAGATGACAGAAAGCAAAGTAATTGTAAAGTACAACTGACTTAAAAGACTAATCTCATGGTGGAAAAGTATCTTGTGACTATGCCAAAAAGCAATTATTTGGGAATTTTCTGGGGTTTTTAGATTACCTTCCCTTCCACTACATGTCAAAAGTAAATCCTGGGGCTGGGGATTTAGTGCAGTGGCGCCACATCTGCCTCACAAGTGCAAGGTCATGAGTTTGATGAGAGAGAGAGGGAGGGAGGGAGGGAGGGAGGGAATCCTAAATAAGCCTGGGCCAGCAAGACTCAACTCTTGACACTGCCTGAGGCACTGTGCTGAAAACCCTGCCAGATCCTAAACATGAACCACTAAGAGCACTGCAAGGGGATGGCGAGCCAGAACAATCCAGCCACATGGCATATATTTTCCATCTAGATTTGACACTTGAAGCCAGACTGAAGTTTATAGACTCAGAGCTAACAAGGCCTGATGAATTATCATGCTGTTCCATCACAAACAGACTAAGATAAAATCTGACTTTGTCCTAAGCAGATCACCAACCCAAAGAGGGCCAGGGGCATGGTGACATGACAAGCAGAGGTCTGCACACAGCTAAGATAAGTGTGATCCACCGGGAGGGCTCCCATGTGGAGGGCCGGGGCGGGGAAACGGAGGGGGGGCTTTCTAAATGTTTTACAAATGAAGTCACATGTTACTCATGTTTTTTTGTTTCTTTCCTTTCTTCTTTCTTTTTAGTCTGAGACAAGGTCTTCCCATGCAGTCCCCCTGGTCTCGAACTCACTGTGTAGCCCAGGCTGGCCTTGAACTTGAGGCAATCCTCTCAGGCTCAGAGCCCCGGGATTACAGGTGTGAGCCACCACGCCTGGCTTCATGTTGCTTCACTGACAAAAAGAAGAGCTGACAAAAGAATGCTGTGGCTAACAGGGAGTACTGTGGGTGGGTGGTGTGTGTGTGTGTGCATGAATCGGTACCAAAATTATCAGCAACAAAATGCGTGACTAGGGTAGGTTAAAGGGAATGGAGTATATTATTTCTGGAAAATAAACTTAGGTGAGTTCTACAGTATCACTCTGATTTATCTCTTCTCAGGTTCCATGAGAATCAAACACACACACTTAGGTGGCAGTGAAGAGCATTCTCTGTAAGACTTTCCTACAAACACATTAGTTAAAAATGCTTCAGCAGTAATGAAAAGAAAACCTTTTGAATGGATCACCTATTTGAAATTTTTAAGATAAAATTTGCAAAATTAGGTGTCAAAATATCTTCAAAATATTATTTATGAATTAGTTAACAGCACAACAGCCTTTCTACACAGTACGTGGTGACAGTAAGTCTGCGCCACATAATACCTGCTCCACTGAGGACTCTTCAGGTCAGGAACTAGAAACTGCAGTCACAGATGTACAAGGAAAGGCAGAGTTCAGGAGACTGAGATGGGTTGAGAGACTCTGCATCTCCTATGGTCCTGACACCAAAAAGTAGGCTGAAACTCACCCGAGTTATTGGACAGTTTGTTTGCAGTGGTCCACTGGTATACAAAGTACCCTGCTCTGAATTTCACAATGTGCATCTGTGTCAGGGTTTTACACACTCTCAGAGGACACAGACCCTGAGAGGGCATCCACGTAAAGATTTTTATTTTCTGTAATGCCCATTTAGCAATAAAACTTTTGTCACATGCAGAAAAATATGGACTCTCCCCTGGATTCCATGCTCATCTCTCCACTGCAACTCAGGAAACCACAGGAACAGATTTCTTGGGTAGAGCTGGGAAATCAACCTCAGAGCAGGGAGACCTGCGGCATGACACAGCTCCGGCCTGGCAGTGGCCCTGAGGGCAAGCAGTGGAAAGCGCACAGCAGAGGAGCTGGGACCCTGATGGCAAACTCACTCGGGGACAGCACACTAGCTTTAGTGCAGGCCCTGCACTGCACCCCTTCAGGGGTAAAGCTGTTTTGGGGATCCTGCACCCTCCATTCCAAGGTCTCCAGTTAACATTACTCACACAATACATGTGAGTAACATGACTAAAATCTGGGGTCTCAGCGCCGATTAAAGGACTTACGGAGATGTTACTCAGGGGCCTCACTGAAGCCATGTTCCAAGATGAATTAACTAGCCACAAAATTAATTCAATAAACCACAGAGGTAAAGATGCACTAACGTCTGCTCTGACAATCCTGAAATGCTGGAGCTCAGTCAAATCGAAGGAAGTTTGTACAGAAACCAGGCGAACATGGCCATGTACTGTCCCACTTGGGTGGATCACATCTGGCATGTGAACATCTGAAAAGACTGAGAGATATCAGATTTGTCCAGCTGCTTCCCTCTAACCATAATTAGAAAAGGTGAATTTAAAAATGTATGACTAAATGTTTTGCAAAACCAAGTTTTTCCTCTCTCTTCCCCCAATACCTTCCAGAATGCCGCAGCACTACGCACCCCAAATTAAAATTTAAATCTTGATCTCCGTGCAAAGATTGCCTTGGCAACCTCAGTATCTCTGTAGCAAAGCGACACTCAAAAAAAAGTGGAAACGCATTATACAAATCAGAATTACAAACCTTTACATGAATCATCCTCAATTGGCTGTTTAAAAGCGGTTATGTCACTGAAAGTGCAGAGAAATAAAACCACTTTATCCTGTTCATTTCGAATTGGAGCAATTTTCACAAAGAACCACACAGGTGTCCCTGAAAAGAATATTAAAAGGTTGGTTATTTCGTTCTCATTTGAGGGTCTACGGAAGCAAAAGCTTGGACATGAATAGGTAAAAATATTAATTCATTTTTAAATGGTCTCATTCTTTGAGGTGCCCATATATTACACCATTAATTTTGTTTTCGCTGGAATAAAAACTGTTACAGTACATACTCAGTGAGGATTTTCTTCTACTGAAGCAATCTTGTAAATGCATATCTCCTAACCCTTGTAAAACAGGAAATAGGTTGAAAATCCTACTTGATCTTATAAAAGAAATTCAACTAGCAAGACCAAAGACTTACCTTAGATCACATGGTAGACAGTAAAGAATACGGGCCAACAGTCATTACTATTCAGGGTTTTTATTTGTAAACAATGCCTTGATTAAAATTTGAAACAGGGAGCTCTATTTTATCAATTAGAACATGGAGGAAATCTTGATAAGATCTCCTGCAAAGGTGCACAATTTTGTAGAGAAAGTAAATAGATGACAATTTTTAGATGATAATAAAAATGATATTTTGGAGGTGGAAAAAAACATGAGCCAAAATCCTCACTGCCAGCTGTGGCCAAGAGGCCACATGAACTCAAATTTCCAGTGCTGTCTATGCCACAGGCCCCCATGTCAAAGTACGCTTGGTGGATCCATCCACTTGTTCACATGCTCAACCAAGCATGAGCCAGAAACTATATTTCCAAGTCCCTCTCCCCCCGCCAAAAAAATGCAAAATGTCCAGTACGATGGCAGATGGCAAGGCACCGAAGTAAAGGATTGCTACCGTGGTTTCCCCAGCAGAGGTCCCCCAGAAAGGGAGGACCCTGGGTTGGGCTGGGTCACTGTAGTGTCTTAGGAAGCTCAGTGAACATTTCAACTTCAACCCTTGTTCCTGAGCTAAAACGGGGATGCACAAGCTCTTCCTGAGCACTGTCCTCAGCCGCAGAAGGGAGCGGGCAGAGCTCATCTGAGTTCTTACAAAGGAGGCCCACTCGGGTACCTGTGGTCAAATAGCTGCAGTTATTCTCTGTCCCCCAACACGTTTTTCTATACACAGATGACACCACAGTAAGAAGTACCGATCTATTCTGTGACACAAATCAAATGAAACACAAAACCACGATGCATTCTTCCCTACCTAGTTCTTGTATTTCAGTTCCTAAAATAGCACCTGGCATATAAGAAGACCTCAGTAACTAATTTTGCATACTTAATATACTACAATTTCATAACCACTTTCATATTAAAATCAGTAACTATTTCCCCATGTTGTTGAAGTGTTGGAGCGCTTCCTGGGTGCAAAGGACTATGCCCAGCATTTCACACATGGATCATTTTGTGTTATGAGACACAGAGTGGACAAGCCACTGAGTCTCAGTGATGAAAACACAGGAGTCCCCTGGGTCTCTGCCTGTAGTCACATCAGATTATGTATTACACATGGACAGACACACAACTTAAAATCAAATTCGAATGAGCCAGTTTGCCTTGCCAATAACTCATTTACAGATCTGGATTTACTACCTATCCATATTCAAGTATGAATAGCCCTGAAGTGTACAAACAGGCAGCAAATAGATCAAAAGTTTCAGTTTCAATTATCTGTGTATTCATCCATAGATAATTTTAATCTTCTTTCCATTTCTCTTTGCATAATTTTCAGCTGCCCTGCTATGGATGCTCTGAGAAAACCAATATATTGTAACATCTCCCTAAGAAAACCATGTAAGAAAAATCCACCACAAAAAAATCATATACAGCGTTTCAAAATCAAGAAAAATATGACCTTTGAAATATCCACTGTCTTTGGAAAGCCTGTGTTACTCTTTCTCCCAGTTCCCTCCTCAGAATCTGTGGGATTTCAAAGCATTTTCAATTAAGCATCAGAAAACTCGAAAGCATTACAGCATATCCTAGCTGGCAAGACAAAAAGCAAGCAAATCAGAAAAAGCATTTTCATTTTGCTCCAAAAAAATGTTTAAGCAGTTCTTTTTCAGAGGGAAGCCAGAAAACGCTCCTAATTTATCAAATGAGCAGTCAACGGGAGGAGAGGGGACTCACTCGTGTGCCTCGTGTGACACTGGGAACTGTTTCGCGCTGGAGCCCCACACCACCGCAGTGCACCATCCTGGCGGGCCAAGCCTGGGAGCTTGTTCAGCTGGGCCTGCAGCATCGAATCCACACATTCCAGCTCTTGGGTTGGTGATGCCAACCCACACTCCTGAGATCTTCAAAGCAACCGTATGAGTCATACTGGAGGCCTTTCTCAGTTTTCCCCAGTCAGGCTCACTGTGGAGTCCTCCATGTCAACAGGCAATCTATTGAAACTGTGGGCTCATCTCTACCAAGCTATGCCCAGGCTAATGTTCCCTGACTAAATATACAGCAGCCTGATCATCTCTTTTCTGTATCTAAATATATCTATCTATCTATCTATCTATATATATATATCTTGTACCCAAAAGTCATTGAAATGGTATGTACAGCCTTAGGGTTCATCTTGAGCTGGATTACTGGGACTTGTTGAGAACAGGAACCCCTTTTCCCTAACCTAGTGTTTCCCTGTGGAGAGACGCCTTTTCACGTAACACGCATGACTTTTCCTTGGGTTGGTAATTTAGGACACAATAGCTGGACAGGGGTAACTCAGTCTCTTCTCGGCTCTGCTCCCCCATTCTACAGTGGCAGGAAGGAAAGCAAAGGGCAGGGGTGGGAGGAGAGGCCTGCAGTTCTCCAGTGCTACCTGTGACAGGTGTGAGTCTGTCTGACTGCGTGGTTCACTGTTAGAAACTCACCCACAGATATAAACTACAGGGTCAGGTCAGCTTCATTAGTCACATCAGGTTGCTATTCGAACCATTTTGGCCCAATTCCCGTATCTCCATTTGTTCCGATCACAGACAAGGAAGGAAAGTGGCACATACCGCCCCCCACCCCCAACACCTGCCGAGTGTGTCCTTGAACAGATCATAATCCATGCCCAGGACAGGGCTGCTGGCTCTGCCTTGCACCCATGCACCCCACCCCTCCTGCTCTCCAATTAGCGTCGTGCACAGGCTCCCGTGAGGCCACTGCATTGCTGCACCAAGCGCCATCACGGGGTTCTGCATAGCCCTGGCAAGGTGGGTGCTCCAGAAATACCTGCTGAGTGTCATGGGCATAAATCCTACTCTCAATGTCTTCACTGTCTCTCAGACCTGCCTCTATGCCAAATTATCACCACCCAAACTATCTAGGAAAGCAAGTAGAATGGCATAAATTTCCATTCCTAGAATTCTTCCAGAAGAGGATAGAAGTCCTTCCTCAGTGGCACACACCTGTCATTTCAACTCTTTCCTCTTGACAGAAAAGCATTGTAATCTAACAAAACATTACTCCAGGTCTCACTATACAAAAGTGAACACCTTCCTTACCAGCAGAGGCCATGGCAGGTGACCTCCAGGGTCCCTCTCCAAGTGCAGATTCTGGAGAAGGACCCACTTCATTGGGATACCAGAGCGACAAGGAATGTACAAACTTCACATACACACAAGAAAAGTCAGGAAGAGAAGATTAAAACTCTGTCTTGTCACCTACTATTACTACTGTGGAAAAAACAAGAAAAACAAGCATCTGGTGCCCTGTTTCTGCAAAAAAAAAAAAAGACAAAAGGTCAATGATAAATCCTTTATTAAGGAAAGAGGAACGTCCAAGCCCATGAGCCACAAAGCACCTGACGACCCTCCAGATGGCCAAAGCAGCCAGCTGATGGGATGGAGGTCCCTCTGGAGGGAAGGTGCTCAGTTCGAGGCAAGTTCCAAGGCGAGCACCTCTTCCTGGTCGCTCCCTCACAGCACTCAGTAAAGAACCCAACAAACTCATCAGGCCTTGGGGCTTCTCAACCCTGGCAGCCAGATAATGAAACAGCAGGGCTCAGATGAAGGGCAGGATTTCGGTCTCCATCAACCTTCCTCTGCCCGGGCTTCCCCCCAGGTACTCTGCCTGTAACCAGACCTCTGCGCGTCCAGACTGTTAGACAGCACGAGAACAGACTAGGCCACCTTGACTAGCACTGGAGAAAGGCCGCTCAGCATGGTCCACTCTGGTAGGTCCAGAAACTACACTGAGGAATGGCAACCTGCCCTAGGAAACAGACCGGCCGGTGTGGGGACAACTTTACCACAACAAATGAGAAGTGCAGAGTAATGGCCTCTGGCCATCGGCACGTCTCAACTGGAGTCCCAGACTCTGAGCTTGACCCCTACCCTGTTTGTTGTGTATTTAATGTCTCTCAACATCAGTCCCTCATTCATAAAGCGGGGATAATAGCCCTATACCTAAGATTACACGAAAATATACACAACACAGAGGTGTTTAAAGCTATGCTTGTCTTCCTTCCTTTTGAATTTCCCATTTACAAGACTGAAATCATGTTACAGGATACACGTGGGCGACCATGATCTCAGGTCCCTGTTCCGGCACCAACGTGGCCAACCCATCTGGGACCTGGACCCGCTGCTTGGCTCTCCCTGACCCAGGGGCGAATGAGGATGAGTGACAGAGACTCAGAGGCAGCTAAACATGGGGAGAGTCATCTCTTAGGAGGCAGAGGAGCGCCCACACCTGGCTCATCTCACCTGTATTCACCCGAACACAGGCACAACCAATCAAAGCAACACAAGATTCATCTGCTTTCCAATAGCATTAGTACACGCTCAGGTAAACAACAGCCTCAGCGGCCTTAAGTTTTCTCTAGAACATGCAACGTGCAGTGACCCCGGAGAGCAGCCTTTCTCCTTTGTACTCACAGAGGAGGCCAATTCTCCTCTGGTCTCCAACATATACACATGTTTATAGCAGCATAAATTATAACAGCTAGATCTTGAAACAGTATGTATATCCATCAACAGATGAATGGATAAAGAAAATGTGGTATTTTTACATGATGGAGTACTACACTGCCATAAAGAAAGAAACCTGAGGGATTCTTAGCTAAATGTATGCAACTTGAGAACA